GTTGGCTTCAACCTAGAGATGCAGGGATGGTGCAACATATGAAAATCTGCCAATGTAATCTATCTATCTATCTATCTATCTATCTATCTATCTATCTATCTATCTATCTATCTATTTATCTATGGATTAACTGAAAGATAAAAACATATGATCATCTCATTAGAAGCTGAAAAGTCTTTGACAAAATCCAACACCCCTTCATGATAAAGGTGTTGGAGAGCTCAGGATACAAGGAACAAATCTAAACATAACAAAAGCAAGTCGAGAGCCAACATCAAATTAAATGGAGAGAAACTCAAGGAGATTCCACTAAAATCAGGAACAAGACAAGGCTATCTACTCTCTCTATATAAGTTCTAACTGGAACAAAAAGACAGCAAAAGGAAATCGAGAGGATATAAATCAGAAAGAAATAAATCAAACTTTTGCTATTCGCAGATGATATGATAGCATATGTAAGTGACCCAAAAAATTCTGTTAGGGAACTCCTATAGCTGAAAAACACCTTAAGTAATGTGGCAGGATAAAAGATAAACTCAAGAAAATCATTAGCCCTACTATATACAAGTGATAAAAGGGCTGAAAATGAAACGAGAGAAACATCAACCTTTATAATAGCTCGAATAACATAAAATATCTGGGTGTAATGCTAATCAAAGAAGTGAAAGACCTGTATGATAAGAACTTTAAGTCTTTGAAGAAAGAAATTAATGAAGATATCAGAAAATGGGATGATCCCCCATGCTCTTGGATAGGTAGAATCACCATACTAAAAATGGCAATCTTACCAAAACCAATCTACAGATTCAATCAATGCCCATCAAAATCCCAGCATAAGTTTTCACAAACCTCAAAAGAACAACACTCAACTCCATATGGAAAAACCAAAAACCCAGGATAGTCAAAACAATCCTGGACAATAAACATCTGGAGGAATCACCATCCCTGACATCAAGCTCTATTATAGAGCTACAACTAATGAAAACAACCTGGTATTGGCATAAAACCAAACAGGTTGACCAATGGGATCGAACTGAAGACCCTGTTATTAATCCACACACTTATGAACACCTGATTTTTGACAAAGAAGCTAAAATTATACAGTGGAAAAAAGAAAGCATCTTCAACAAATGATGCTGGCATAACTTGATGTCAACTTGTAGAAGAAGGCAAATAGATCCATATCTATTCTCATGCACAAAACTCAAGCCCAAATGGATTAAAGACCTCAATATCAGCCCGACCACACTGAACCTGACAGAAGAGAAAGTGCGAAGTAGCTTTCAATGCATGGGCACAGGACACCACTTTTTAAATATAACCCCAGTAGCACAGACACTGAGAGCAATAATTAATAAAAGGGACCTTCTGAAACTGAGAGTTTCTATAAGGCAAAGGACACAGTCAGTAAGACAAAATGGCAGCCTACAGATTGAGAAAAGCTCTTCACCAACCCCATGTTGGACAGAGGACTGATCTCCAAAATACATTAAGAACTCAATCAACTAGACATCAAAATACCAAATAATCCAATTAAAAAATGGGGTAGAGATCTAAATAGAGGATTCTCAACAGAAAAATCTCAAGTGGCTGAAAGGCACTCAAGGAATTGCTCAACATCCTTAGTCATCAGGGAAATGCAAATTAAAGCGACTCTGATATATCATCTTAAACCAGTAAGAATGGCTAAGATAAAAAATCACCAATGATAGCTTATGATGGAGAGGATGCAGAATAAGGGTGGCACTTTTTCATTGCTGGTGGGAGTGCAAATTTGTACAGCCACTTTGGAAATCAGTGTGGCGGTTTCTCAGAAAATTGGGAATCAATCTACCTTAAGACTCAGCAATACCACTCTTGGGCATATACCCAAAGGATGCACACTCACACCACAAGTATATTTGCTCAACCATGTTCGTGAAATTTGCATGAAAATGGACAGAACTGGAAAAAAAACCATCCTAGGTAAGGTATCCCACATCCAGAAAGATAAACACAGTATGTACTTACTCATAAGTAGATATTAGATGTAAAGCAAAGAATAACCAGCCTGTAGTCCACAGCCCCAGAGAAGCTGGGTAACAAGGAGAACCCTAAGAGAGACATACATGGATCTCCCTGGGAAGGGGAAATAGACAAGATCTTCTGAAAAATTTGGGAGCATGCCAGGGCAGCAGGGTGGGCAGCAGGGGAAAGAGGACGGGGAAGGGGAAGGAAGAGAAAAACATGAGTAAACTGGATAGTCAAGACGTGGGAAGGACAGAGAAGGAGAGCAATGAAAGAGATATCTTGACTGTGGGAGCCAATATGGGCTACCTTAAATCCTGGCACCACAGAAATTCCCAGCAATTCACAAGAATGACCCCAGCTAAGGCCCTAAGCAATAATGGAGAAGGTGCCTGAAATGGCCTTCCCCTGTAATCAGATTGATGACTACCTTAATTGTCATCATAGAGCCTTCATCCAGAAACTGATAGAAGCTAAGCACTGGGGCAAGCTCCCAGAGTCCAGTGGAAGAGAGGAAGGAGTGATAATATGAGCAAAGGGATCATTACTACGATGGAGATACCCACTCAAACTAATGGACGCTCACTGACTCCAGCCGGACAGCAGGGAACCAGCATAGAACCAAACTAGTCCCTCTGAATGTGGGTGACAGTTGTGTGGCTTGGGCAATCTGTGGGACCACTGGCAGTGAGACCAGGATTTATTCCTACAGTTTTTTGAAGGTCATTCTTTTGGAGAGATACCTTGCTCAGTCTAAATATAGAGAAGAGAGCCTTGGTCCTGCCTCGAAATGATGTATTAGACTTTGTTGACTTCCCATGGGAAACTTTTCCCTGCCTGAGGAGTGGATGGGAGGTGGAGTGAGGTGAAGTTGAGAGAGCAGGAGGAGGGGAAGGAGTGGGAACTGGGATAGGTATGTAACCGGAGAAAAAGATCGTTTAAAAAAAAATAAATTAAAATAAAAGAGTTGCATTGCTACTGTCTTTAACACACACCGCCCCTGTTTATACACAATCCTCCAGTCTGTCACCTCCACTGTCTCATTCCCCCCACACCCTACCCCCAGTCCCAAGTGTTCCCTTCTTTGGAAGAGGAGCGCCTGCTCAATCTTTCCCAGGGCTTCTTTCTCAGTTGATTTCCTTTCTCACGATGTGGTTTTGTCCGAGGTGTTGTTTGCTTGAGACACGTGTAGCCCAGGCTACTTCAAAATCATTTTGCAGTCAAGGACGACCTTGAACTTCTGATCGAGTGCTGGGACTATAGGCTTGTGCCACTTTGCTGGGTGTATTTGGTACTGGGGGTGAAATCTGGGGCCTTGAGCACGGTAGGCAAGCACTCTACCAATTGGTCGGCATCCCAGCCCTACCCCTTATTTTTAACCAAAAAGTTTTAAAAGTGGAAAAAATAAAATACAAAATAAGAAAAATAGAAGAGTCTACCTGCCTCTTCACAGCTCTTTGGAGTTACCTTTATATCCACAACTGTCCATTCTCTATTACTCCAATATAAACTCCACAAAGCCTAGCAACACTCACTACAGAACTTTAGATTTTGTGTGCTGAGTAATATTCTTAGGGACCCTATATTACCTCTGGGGCAAAAGATTTTGAATGAGACATTCTTAGAGACAGTGCAACCTTATGGATAAGAGTGTTAGTTAACTGTTCTAGAATGAATTTTGACATCAGGTTTATCTAACTATGAAAGAGGGGTGTGTGGGAAGAAAGAGGAAAAGAGAAGGAGAGAGGGGGAGGGCAGTTAAGGAGAGAGGAAGAGAGTCTAGTCCCTTATTAGGAACTTGAGCAAGTAGCACCTTTGTGTGCCTGCTTTTTCAGTGATAACGTGGGTAATACACACACACACACACACACACACACACACACACGTTCAAGGCTATCTAGAGAATTAAATAAAATTATACAAAAGGCTGTAGCACAGTGCCTTGTGCACACAAACAAGCTCAATAATTCGTGGTTATTTCTGGGCTTAGTGCCTAAAAAACTGAAGAGATGGGTAGATGAAAGGTGATTGAGGTCTTCGCAAACATCCACAAATTCTGGATCCACTGTCTCCTGTGCTAGGGAAACGCTGGCAACCTTTGTCTTTCCAATCAGCTGCTTAGAAAACCAATCAGGACCTGTGAAGCTCCAGGTAAGCCTCCGCGTCTTTCGCTGGGGTAAAGCATCTGCTGAACTCAGTTCTGATCAGCGCCTCCACCTTCTCCAAATTACCACCGTGCTGTATATCCATTCTTTGTTGGCAAATCTTGGCTCCAAACCTCGCACGTGATGTCCTTAGGCCCGCGGTTTATGCTTAGACCGCGCTTTCCAAGTTCGAAGAAGGTACTGATAATACTGGCGGGTGTGGTCTACCTCCCAGCCTTAGCTTCATTCACCAGAAAATGTGCCTTGGCACCACGCGGGGATCCAGAGGTGCGGGGGGTGGTGTGAGCGGGGAGGAAGGAAATCGTGGGATGCTAGGTTTGCATCTGGGCGGAGGAATAGGGTGCCAAGAGCTTCTGGTACGCGTACCAGCTTGTCATCCCTGAACCTGGGCACCGCCATTCGGAACCTGGGGTCCCAAGCGAGTCAGG